ATGCTGCTTGGCCTGCTGTGTTCATCCAGCCCTGCACCTTGTTGTCTAAGATCAGGAACCAGTACGTTAGGAGGTTGGTGAAGATTGTGGGAGCATTGTAGGAAGTAGCTGGAAAGAGTTTGAAATAGTATCATTGTTTGTTGCAGAGAGAGTGAAGAATTGTGATGGCATGTGTGATAGACATGGATTTGTCAGGAAGGAAGAGAAGAGGAGGTCCTAGGCCAGATTGAGAGATGTGGCGGCAAGAGGCTTACATGCAGTGGGAATGGGTAACTGCTGGGAGAAGATGGAGAAGAGTGTTCAACCAGCATTATAGTAACCCTAAGTAAAATGGAAGAAGCAAAAAGGGGAGGCATTCTATTCCATCACTTAGTTACTTGTGAAGGATGTACAGGGACGATAAGTCTTCACTGATGCTTTTTAACTTTTTATAGAATTATTGCTGCCCAAAAAACACCAACCAAATAGGCTTGCCTTTTTTTCTTAGGTGCTTAGAAGGGTTAAAGAAGTTGCGTAATTTTTCAAAAAAAATTTAATACTTTTGTTTGATACCTTTGTGCCTTTGAGATGCAAGGTATGTGACTTTTAAAATAAAGAAGATTAAAATATGTACGTTTGGATTTTGAACAAGTGGCATGTGTGTTTTGGCCTATGTATGAGGTGTTTAATTATTAACTTGTCAGTATTTTTGGAGCCATGTTTTTTTTAAACTTGGTACAAGAGGAGCTTTCCAAGGGTAATAATGGGATTTGTTGGCATTGGGACAGTTTGATGAGTAGACAGAGTAAACATCGATGGGCATTAGTTTGCTTTCTGTGTAGAAGGATCAGTTTCTTTTTTGCTTTGGGGGAAAATACATACTTGGAAAACATTTTTGTGGGCAGGTCAGAGATGGCGTGGTTCACAGAATTGAAGAATTGTTATGGCACAGAAAGAGGCTGCTCAGTCTATCAGGACAGCAATGGCTCTTCAAATGAGCATCGTTACATCTTGCTCAACTATTGGACCCGAATTCTGTAGTCCACATTCAGCCATAAGGTTGAAGTTAAATGTATGAAACCATTTCACATAGAGACAAGAGTTAGTTTGAAACTGTTATAAAATAGGTTACTTCCGTGTAAGGATTTTAGTGTGACCAGAGGTGCTTGGTTAGAGCTCTGAAGGTGTTATTTGAAACTGAGAAAGCTGAAGCTGACTTGTGTGACTAATCAAGGAAGAAGCTCCCAAACAAACACTGGGAATTAAAAGAAACTGTTCAGTTAAACCTACCGATGTGATTGAGAAGCAAGCGAACACTGGTGTTTTTGAATACTGTAACATAATGGTTAAATGAGATTGTATTTTTACTGTGTTCTAAATCTTTCAAATTGTGTTCTTAGCGTTGTATAGCATGGAAATGGACCCGTTGGTCCAACTCGTCCATTGCTGACCAGATATCTTTAATTAGTCGAGTCCCATTTGCCAGCA